TAGTGATTCGGAATAAGACAAAAACGCGGTTTGGAAGATGAATTCATGATGTACTCGCTCATTATATACATTTTGCAAATTTTGACTTTTCAATTTTGATTTTATGGTGACTTTAACAAAATAATCTTTTAGAAGGGCCTCATCTATTCATTTTAACACTTCATCTTGGTTCGCCTCTGATTATTATAGCCTGTTTTTTAGAATGCTTCCTGTGGTTGGGTGAGAAAAAACAAAACAATAATAATCATAATAAATATAAAAAATGTATACACAAAAAATGCAATTTAAATTACACACACACTATCTCTCTCTCTCGCGCTCTCTCTCCCCTCCAGCTGAGCTCTTGCCAACCGCCCCCTCTCTCCCTCTCCACGCTTCTTTCGCGACGCTGAGCCACAAGGCGGACTGTCGGCGCACGGCAGTGGCACCTCTCCGCTTCAGGGTGAAGATGTTCGGCAGTCTGTGTGCCCGTAAGCTGGCTCGCCGATCGCGGTCAGCGTTAATAGCCGCGCTGACAGTGCTGCTGGTCCAAACGCTCATCGTGTGGAACTTCAGCAATCTGGACACGGGAGAAGACCGAAAAGACAACGGCAGAGAGAAGAGGGACCGAATCGGCATCAACAAAGCCTACAGCGAGTACCCGAAGAGCGGCTTCCAGAGGAGGCATCAGCAGCCGCCGCTGGGGAAAGCGTCCGTTCGACACAAACAGCAACCGGTAAGGCGGAATTTCACCGTTCATCGCGCTCCATTCATTCCTCACAGTGCGCCGTCATAGCGGGCCCGTTCTCGCTCGGAAATGATGCCTGATCCCCAGACCCAGCGTTTCGGGGTGTTTCTGCGCTCACAAACGCAGGCAGGATGTTTTGTTTGTGATGTGCTAAAATGTATTCGCTCCTGTTGTCATGACTACATTCCGCGGCTGAGAAGGATGTGACAGTCGCGCGCGGCGCGTAAGATGCCGTTTTGTTGGATACTTTAGCATCTCGTGTGACGGATCGCTGTCCGTTAAAACTCACATTAAGTCGTTGCCATTGTAATCGTGTATACCGGCGGAATATGCAGCTCAGCTCTTACGCGTTGCTTTCAGATCATGTTGATGTCATGTTGGTGATATGCGCTGAGAATGAGCTCTTCATGACCTTTATAAAGAGTGAAAGGATGTATGGTCAATAATCTATGGATATCGTGTAAATGCGTCTGTTTTCTTATTAAATGCGCTGCGTTTCTTTTCCTCTTATTGCATAATAAAAACTATAAAGATGTTAAAATGCTAAAATTACTGTTAAAAGTAAATTAAAATGCGTTTTATGTGGTAACACCAGATATTTAAGTCAAAATATAGACTGAAGTAACCTGACTGTCATTCTACGGAAACGTCCTCTTGCTATTCAACATGCCTTAAAATGTATTTCATTTTTTAAACTTAGGTTACAATATTGCTTAACCCCTATTAATTTACATTTGCGACAGCTCAGTTCATTTTATTTATTTTTCTGTACATTTAAGTATTCTTTTTTAATCTGTTCTAAAAATGTAGTTCATAATATGTTATTATTATATAATAGAGTCAATGAGTATAAAAACCTTTATATATCAAATAAGACTCTTTTGATTTAACAAGATTTGAGCAGATTTTCCAAACAGGGGCACAAAAAGCACCAAAGAATTTTGTCCTCACTGACACCTTGGGAAAAAAATCTTTAGTGGCAGTTTAAACTCAACATATTTTATTACTGATTTTGTGGATTCGTAACACCCTCCATTCAGTTTGTACCTTGAAATGCTGGGCTATCTTTCTGGACACGATGCTTCTGCTCTCAGACTTTGCCTGCGGCTTTGCTGACAGACCCTCCATGCCTTGCATTGCGGACAATGACCCGACTACATTAGGTAACAATAGTTAGAGCAGGGTCAGATCAATTAAAAATAGCTCTTTATAGTTACGTTTTCTGTTTTCACGGAGTATCAGCTTCTAACAATCAGTTTTTTGGTCAAAAAACATCTTTTTGCAATGACAGTTAGTCACACCACTTGAAAGCATGTATCCATCACTATGATTGTGTCTTAAAATCTAGTTGGCTCCATACCTAGACAGCATTTTTTGCGTATTGATGTTTATGTTTTTCAAAATTTATGATGCACATGCCTAGGAATGCCTCCTAGATAAGCATCTCTCTCAGCCAGAGTGTATAAAACATTAGTGTTTCTAAATAATTCACACAAAATACCTTAAACGCCACACCTCAGTGAAAGCGCTAAACTCCCTCATCAGTGTGCCTCGTTTTTTTTTTGTTTACAATTAACTGATACTAATTATCATGTATCATCTCATTAACATAATTCTCTCAAACATAGGTTTGCCTAATCTAATTAGAAATCTTTCTGTCAGCTGTGTTTGAACAGCTTTTTCCTCATTGAAGAAAAAATCATCCTAATTGTGTTCATGTATATCTGGATAATGTAAAAATACGGAGGCTGGAACAGATTTTCACTGCAGGCTAATACTAACATCACCATTTGGCTTCCATGTGCTACAGTTCTTTTTAATTGCAGAGGTGTTAATTTAGCTTTCTAATCCAGGTGTAATGTAAACTACAGCGAGCCTGGAGCGACGTTCCATCTCATTTGGTCTCTCGCTAATATCCCCACAGACCTGTTGCTCTGTCTGTGTCTAATGTGATAATTCTATTCTTCTGTGGACCTTTTTTAAACCTGCAGTCTAAAGTGCACATTATAATCCCTCCAGCACTAATCGACGGCCGAATTCTCAGCAGGACTTGCTTCTCAGACAGTTTTGCCTTCAAGTTTTCGCAGTTTGGCAGGAGTGTTAATGTCCAGTAAATGTGTGCATGTCAGCAGAATGGCTCGATGCCATCCTGCCTCGGCAGTGTGAAGTGTGTCCATCTTTCAGTGTCGTCTGCTCCGAAATGCTCCCCTGTAGAGCCATCATCCTGCTTGAAGCCGGCTCTGCTGCATGAAGCACCCTATTCCGCTCGATTCATTTAAGCATAGCTGGTAGCAATAATAATAGAGTGTGCTTTGACCCCAGCGCCGGTCACCTTTTTGTCCGTGCTGCGTTGATGAGGTGCTCTTGTGTACACTCTCTGCTCTTCCGTATCTGTTCTGCTCTCGGATTTGTTTGTGGCCTCGATGGGCTGTTTATTCTGGCAAACAGGATTGGCAGAGGATTAAAGCGGGCACCAGTAGCCGTGAGATTGTTTCAGCTGTTTATCTCGATGTTCGTCCTGAGACCGCATGGAATCGGCGAGGTGGGAAATCTGGAGCGAGAGTTAGAAACATGAGAGTGTTTCAGAATATGCATCTGAACCCCATGAAGGCTCTCAAACCTGCTGAGTCCCACAGACAGGAAATAGATGCCTATTGGTTCGATTTTGTCTGAAATTAATCTTCATACTTAAGTATTTTGTCTGTTATGGCTTTCGTCAGTGCAGATAATCAGAGTCTAGAATGTTTGTGTCTGTCTAAAAAGCAGCGTAAGCCTTTGTTGTCCGGTTATTTGGCTGTAGTGCTGCACTCTACCTGGCCTGTGTTGACTCAAAGAGAGCAAAATAGATAGGGGAGTGACTATTCCCGTTTTGTACTGCACTTTGTGTAACTGTCGACTGCTCTTTAATACCACAGTCACAACTCTGCTGGCTCAAATTGTCTGCTTTTCAGCCTTTTTGATTAAAGAGATGTGAGACACAGTCACAGATGACCTCTCACCTCTCGTGGGCCTTCTTAAACATGGCATTAACCCAAGCCCACACGCAATCTGCGGCCAGCGGAAACACAGCAGAGTTGAAGAAAAATAGAATCTTCTGTTTCGCGCATGTTCATGTTTTGACTCATTTGACTTGATTAACATATTTGACAAAATCGGCACAGAAACGTCAGCAGACTTCGGCTGGTCCCCACCATTTGCATGTTATTTGGTTATCCAGTTCTGGATTTCTTGTTTGGTTTCTTGTGCTTATTCCTCCCTAAAACTGAAACTGGAAGTTCCATTGCTTGTGGAAATGGGGATGTTGGCTATACATAATGGGAAGTGGATTAAACCTCAGAAAATGTGTGATTTTCTGTAAATGGCAATATTGGCTCAGAATAGTTTTTTTTTTTTTTTGAGTCCATTTTAGTTGCAACTTTTTGGGGATATTTTACTTTTGTGAATAAGTACTTTTGTACCTTCTAAGCAAAGAATTTCCAAGCCCAAATGTAAAATCAGCTATTAAAGCCTGGGCTGAAATTAAACTTTAAATGGATGTGCAAAATTAGATATTTTCAAAATCAACTAGTCGGTGGGTTGGTTCAATGACTAGTTGACTAATTGGTCTTGAGGAAAGCCTGTATAATTAGGTTGCATTTGCATTAACTTGACCCAGAAAAATAACATTGTTTTATAAACAAATAAAATTGTTTTTAAAATATCAAATGTATATATAATATGTAATAATAATATTCTATATAATAATATATTATATAATGCAGTTTTATACATAATTTATAAGAAAAAATATAATATAAATTATATATTATTAATATTTTAATTATTATTTTTATTTTATATATATATAAAATATAATTAATTTATAAGAAAACTATTATTACTATGTATATATATATATATATATAAATTTGTACATTTTAATTTGTAGTTCAAGTTTTATATAACATTTTTTTTCTCTCTTCCTCTTTCTCTACTAAAAGAAAAAATCTAGATAAATTAGTCAACCTCACTAATTAAAAGATTTCTGTGGACAGATGTACGGTTGGGTAAAACATGCCAGTGAAGGGCTGTGATGTTGGTGATTAAGTTAATTCCACATGTACTTGGCGTGTTTTGAGGCCTGTGTTAATGCAGCAATAAACGGCACGTCCTTCATTTGCTTTAACACGCTCTCATTAGCCAGATGCCGCTGCGCACCGGGTGAGCGGAACGCCACATTTGTCTTGTTACTGCATGTTCTGATTCTCCTCAGGTCAGCCGGTCCCACATGCTCAAACACCGCTTGGGTCCTGTCGCCGCAGGACGTTCCTGATGCGAGGGGAGTCGGGTTTGATGGTGATCAATCTCATATGTCGTGCTCAGCGTGTGTGCTGAATGTGAATGATCTCGTTATCTGCCGACCGGTCGCCACCTGAATTAGCGGTGTGCTCCCAGAGGGAGGGGCTCTGGGGGCCGACAGTGACATAAGTGTCCACATAAACAAACGCACACACCAGTGGGGCTCTTTCTGACTCACTGTAGCATGTGGAATGATCTTTCCTAGAAGAGCTCCAGAGAGTGCACCCATAAGTTGACTAGGCAGATAAAGTTTAGGAATAAAAAAAGCATATTCCTCACTAGCACCCTTATCACAAAGCTTGTAGGTGTATATCGGGGTTTATGTGAATATACAGTATATATGTATATATATATATATATATATATATTTGTGTGTGTGTGTGTGTGTGTGTGTGTGTG